CCACGAGGCCGGCTCTTCATCTCCTCTAGTCTGTAACTGCTCAGGGACTTTCTCCGTTATCCCCCGTCACAGGACTTTAAGGGGTGGTGCCCCCATCCTCTTCTCTCCGTTTACACTGCCCCATAGCTCTTATTAACATTTGGTTTGTTCATCTTATTCTTCTGACTTACAGTTACTAGGCGTAAGCCCCACAAGAACAGGGAACTTTGTCTGCTGCCTTCTCTCCTATATCCCCAGCACCTGGAATAGTGCCTGACACGCAATAAATATTTGTTGAATGTAGTTTTAAAGCATAAATTAATGACTATGAGATAATAGTGGGCATCAGCTGATTTAAAAGTAAATGTGATCACGGGCCTCTTGCAGTGGCCACACAGATATGGAAAGATATTTGTTGTAAGGAATTGGCTCACAGGATTATGGAGACCAGCAAGCCCAAACTGCAGAGCCAACATCCAGGTTAAAGGCAGTCAGGCAGGGGAACTCTCTGTTACTCCGGGGAAGGGTCAGCCTTTTGTTCTCTTTAGACCTTCAACTGATTGGGTGAGGCCCACACACATGAGGAAGGGCAATCTGTTTTACTTAGGCTGCTGATCTAAATAGTAATCTCGTCGAAAAACACTCTCACAGAAATACTCAGAATATTGTTTGGCCAAGTATGTGGTACCCTGTAGCCCAGTCAAGTTGACACCTGAAGTTAACTTTCACGGTACACTCATCAGGCCACACTCAAACCCCAAGTCTTGTTCTGGGCACCACATTCCAGAGTCTGTGCTGGTGAAGACCTGACAACCGTGGTGTCTGGGGAGGACTCGGGAGGCTGGAACGTTGCCCTGATCAGGGTTGAGTGACATCTTCAAACACTTGAAGGCTTGTCTTCTAGAAGAAAGAGGAAGGGATTCATTGGTCTGGAAGGCACAGCTCAGACAGGTGGCTGGAAGGTACAGGTAGAAAGTAAGAACAGAAATCTTCTGTCTTGGGAGCTGGAGAGCTCTGCTTTGTGGAGGGGTTCAGGCAGAGGCCAGCTGCGCCCGGGAGTCAGAAGTCCCCTGTCCTGGCCCAGCCCCGGTGCTGGTTCTCTGACCGTGGGAAGGCCCTTAGCTTCTCTGAGATTTCCCCTCTCTGCCGTGGAAATCAGAGTAGCCTCCCTCACAGGTGGTGCTGAGGGTCAGGTGGAAACGACACCTGGAGCACTCAGTGGGGGTTGGACGGGCCTCGGTCGGTGCCCCGCGGCCTCAGAGCTGCGGGCGGGGGGCTCTGGAGGAGTGTGACTAGCCCCTTGCCTCGGCAGGAAATTTCCACTGACCCGCAGGCAGGGACGCTGCCTGCCCTGGCAGCTTTGCTTGCTTCTCCCTGGAATGCGCCTGAGGCGTGGCGGTTGCCTCCTTTTCTGGATTCCTCAGGCCCGAGTGTGCGGTCCCGGCTGCTGGCCCTGCAGGGGCGGGCTTGCGCGGGGTTGATGGTGCGTGGAGGGGCCGGCCGGGGGCTGCCCTCCTCCAGGGACCGGCTGCTCCAGGGCAGTGCTCTTAATCACTCCAGGGTCTGTTCCCATGTTGCTCCCCCTTCCTCCTCTTATTTACACTGTTCACATTCTTGCCTCTGGAATGCGCCAGGGCGACACAGCCCACCTTCCACTCTGAAGCAGTGTACTCTGTGCGCAACGTGTTTGAAGCCCGAGTGTCTTATTTCATGGCTGTAACGTGAATGAGAAAGAGGAGCAGAGCGTCCTGGCCTCAACATTCAGAGCTGGCCTGCCAGTGGGACAGGGGCCTTTGGACTGTTGTGGGGTTTTTCGGTGACAGGCTTGATAAAAATAACTTTTTAGCATAAGTGCTTTTCAGTGAAAAGAAGGTTTTACTACCATGTTTCGGTCAGAAAGTCAGATAAACATTGTTTGACGTTCAGTGTTGGTGAGTAGCCAAGCTTCAGAGGATGTACACATAGGTTGGCATGGCTATTGTTTGGCAGGTGAATGGTGCAGGAGCTTTTTCTTATGCCGGTGATGTCAAAGCAAGGTCAAAGCTAAATGGTCCCCACTGGGGTCGCTTATAACTGGCATTGGGACATGTAGCACATGTCACTGCCACACTGGGTAGCGCTCGAGGGTGCCTGATGCGCAGCAGGTGTGCAGTAAATGGTAGCTGGTGGTGGTGGCGACAGTTTACGCCCAGCTTGTTAATGGTTAGCTCTGAATTTCCCAAGCCAGCACACACCAGAAAGTTCCCAGTGCTGTTTATTACGTACTCAGCAGCCCGGTTTCTAGGACAGAAAGCACTGTCAGTCTGGGGACCCAGTGGATGTCTGGTCAGTCCAAAACGTCGACCAGAACTTCTCGGGCGTGGCGCTGGCACCGTTGACATCTAGGATAATTCCTTGTTGCAGGGGGGCTGCCCTGTGCACGGTAGGATGTTCAGCAGCGTCCCTGGCCTCTATTCACCAGATGCCGGTAGCTCCTGCCTGCCGGTTGTGACAATCAGAAATGTCTCCAGGCATTGCCAAATGTCCCCTGGGGGACAGAATCACCCCTGGTTAAGAACCCTCGGTGTAGAGAAAGCTGTGAGGTGCCGTCACTGGGCTCTGCAAACTATGGATCACTCAGTTCTCACTGAGGCAGAGCTGCTCAACTGTGGCTGAGCACTGGAGTCACCAGGGAGCTCTGCAAAACCCTAACGCCCAGGTCCCTCCCCCAAGATTCTGGCTGGTCTGGGGTGTGGCCTGGGCCTCAGGATGTTTAGAAACTCTTCAGATGCTTCCAGTTTTCAGGTAAGAGGGGTAGCACCACATTACCAGGTGATGGAACCAGCCTGGTGAAGTGCGTCTTTGCTAGCATTTAAAACATCTGTGTGTGTATAGCTGAGGGGAAGTACCAATGCCCAGTGCCCCAGTGAGGGCAGGTGCTGCTTGGTACGAGTGTGGAGTTGAACACGCCGCTGTACGGGGTGGACCTGTAGGCAGCACTCCTGCCGTCAGCCCGCGTTTAGTCTGGGCGTAGCCGCTTCAGGCGCTGCTTGCTTTTGTTAATGACAGTGACTGTGAAAAATTCTTTATTGCCTTATAATTGACATACCAGCTTCAGGCGTTCCGCACGATGATTCAGTATTTGAAGGAACTGTAAAATGATCACCACGGTAAGCTTAGTTAGTACCTGTCACCGTATTTAGACCTTTCCCCCTGTTGATTAGAGCTGTTAAGATCTGCCGTCTCTAGCAACGTTCAAACATACAATGCAGCGTTACTAACCGCAGTCCCCATGCTGTGTATTACATCCGCATGACTGACTTTATTTTTTAACTTGAAGTTGGTGCCTTTTGACCCCTTTCAGCCATTTCACTCGCCCCCCACCTCCTGCCTCCGGCAACCACCAGTCTGTTCTCAGGACCTATCGGTTTGGTGTTTTGTTTTGTTTCTTTGGATTTGCATGTGAGGCCATGTGGCATTTGCCTCTCGCCCTCTGACTTACTTCACTCAGCGTAATACCCCAAGGCCCACTCATGTTGTTGCAAACAGCAAGATTTTACTTTCCTTTTCTATGGCTGAACACGCTCCGTGGTATATGGACCACGTCTCTATCCATCCCTTCATCGGTGGACGCTCGTTGCGGCATCTTGGCTGCAGTGAGCTTGGAAGGGCGCCTGTCTTTTCAAATTAGTGTCTTCGTTTTCTTCAGATAAGTGCTCAGAAGTGGAGTTGCTGGATCCGGTGTTAGTTCTGTGGTTAATGTGAAATTTAATACAAGGCATTTGTAATTCTATGGCTTGGGAATTTTGTGAGCCTCTTTTTATCGTCCACATTTTGAGGCTTCGCCCTGACATTGATAAAACCAGTTACAAATGCTAGCCGGTAGAGACGACATCGTGTTTTCACCAGCAGGTGAGTTTAATGACAGCGCAGCAGCCAGGTGACGGCCTTCCTCCTTTGTGTGTGTTGATTATATTCACCGTGATACGCGGGGTCAGCAGTGGTCTAAGTGCATCCAGCAACAGTGTGGGACTTGCAGAAATCATCCCGAAGGTTTTATGAGCATCAGTGTAACAGCCTTTCGCCTTCGTTATCTCTGGGAATTTGGGGTCTTGCAACACACGTCTCACTGCAAGGAAGGAGTGTGGCGAGGCAGGAGACGGGCGAGCTCTGGCTGTTCTTTTTACCTCATTGCTCGGGAGACCGTAAACCCGAGGGACTCTGGCTGTGTCCCGAGTGGTGACTCTGCTGGCAGAGGCTGCGGCTGTGGGAGGCCTGGACGCCTCGTTCAGGTGCTGGCAGGACTGTGGGATCCCTTGCACTGGCCCAGAAGCCCACTACAAGCCCGTGAAAACACTCACCGAAGCTTCCCACTTGACTTGAAAACATCACTTGAGAGGTTGGCCTTCAGTTTAGGTATCTGGGAACTATCCATGCCGAGTCGGGTGACTCACAAAGCAAGCCTCCGGTCCCTCATCACAGAGTGCTCTAAAAAAGCACAGGCAGGAGACTGGGTGCGCTCGGGGTGGTCTGGCAACGAGCTTATACCGCACAGCACAGGGCCTGTATTCAATGCCTCGCAGCAGGCTACGATGAAATAGAATATGAAAAGGAATAATGTGTGTCTACGTATGACTGAAGCAGTGTGCTGTGCACCAGGAATTGACACAACATTGTGAACTGACTGCACTACAGTTAGAAAAAAAGAACAGGGCCACCCTGCATTGACTGCAGTTTGCCATTACCTGGGGGAGCAGGCTTGGGCCCATTACCTGGGGGAGCAGGCTTGGGCCCCATTACCTGGGGGAAGCAGGCTTGGGCCCCATTACCTGGGGGAACAGGCTTGGGTCCATTACCTGGGGGAGCAGGCTTGGGTCTAGTTCTTGAATCAGTTGCTGAAAAAAGATAATTTTCCTGTGCCACAGTGGGAAGAGGTTGGGTTGACAAACATCCATTTAACTGTCTGATAAATGCTTTTCTCTAATTATAGTTCAGTTCTAGGTGACCGTACCTCGTTAAACATGCAATTCTGGTTTTTCTAGGTCTCTGCGGGTTCTGTGGTCCACTTTTCACCAGGAAACTTCTCCTTGTCAGCAGAAACAGAAGAAAGGCCCTTCCCCCATGGAAATGAGCATCTGCTAAACTGGGCCCGAAAGGAGTACGGAGCAGTCACTTCGTTCACCGAACTCAAGATAGCGAGGAACATTTACATTAAAGTGGGGGAAGGTAACTTTTGTGCGGTTTCACTCAGTGACTGATTTACAGCAGTCGGTTCTCTTCCCTGAGCCCAGGTGGCTGGGCAGGAATCACAGTGCTACCCATGGCTGGAGCGGCAGGGAAGGGCCTGAGGGGTCCCTGGGCTCTGCTCCCCACCACGTCCCCTCCTTCCCTTTCTCCTTCTGAGGACGCAGGCCTGGTCGTGGGGAGCAGCGGGGGGGAGCCTGGCTGAGAGAGGAGGAGCCTTTGGCTAGGACGCAGAAGTCGCCGGCACACAGAAGCCCGGAGAAGTGAGGGGAGGCCAGAAGCTGAGGGCGCGGGCGGGGCTGGGTGGCTGAGGGAGCGCAGGAGGAGCCGGCGGGGGGTCAGCAGTCAGTGCTTCCTCCTGCCCTTACTCTGAAGCCAGGTCAGTTTGTGGTCTCGAGACGTCAGTTAAATTTTGGACAATAATAGAGGAAAAGTGTTTGAATGTATTTTTAATACTAATGGCTGTTACAAGGACAAATTATTGGAGAAAGGAACTGTTTGGCCTTGATAAGAAATGGCCCGTTTTGATTTCTTTGCCTTGCAGAGGGATATAAATAGCTGGTGATTCAATTTTGAAAGCATATCACTTTTAAAATAACTTCTTTATCATTATTTTTAGTTGAGCATATTTGGAGCTCCCAAATAAGTTACTAGAAATAACAGCTCTGGTAAGTGGGTCCTTGTTAGATTGTGTGAAGATGGCATTTCAGGGCGTCAGGGTCTGTCTGCCTGCTTTTGATTTCTGCAGGGGTTGTCACCTCCTTCACAGGTAGCATGAAGGGTGAGTTACTGAGTGCTCACTCCCAGCCCTTCTTTGAATCTGGGATGTCTGACAGGTGCAGAGAAAGGTGGACGCTGACGCTGAGTGTGTGCCGTGCACAGAGGCCGTATCAGGCGCCTTTGCATCCACCCGACTTAACCCTGCCGGTGACCCTGGGAGGAAACCGCTGTCTCCACCGTGTTGCAGAGGGGCTTGTGGAGGGCTAAGCTAACTTGCTCAAGTCCACATTACTAGCAAGTGACAAAGCCAGAGCTCAAACTCGGGCTTCTTGACCCTTGAGTCTAATGCTTACTGTCTGATGCTGTGTTTTGAGTCTTAGCCAAGTAAGCACAACCTAAGCATGAAGTAGGCTCCCGGCGGGGAGGCTTGTTCAGTCAAGGGGAGGGAGCAGGAGCTTCAGACCAAGTCGGGTCCAAAGCACTGAAGTTTTTTGCTCAACTCTCGTGGTCGTCAGGAAGCTAGCGACAGACGTCGTCCCATTGGGACAAAACAGAAAGTCTCTTTTCATAAAGGTTCTGAGCTCTGACTATGGCCTCTGTTTCTGAAGCAGAACTCGAGCACTTGAAAGACTTCTGATTACCCCCTTGGAATCTGTTAGGATAAGAACATGTGTCACGGCCCCATGTAGAATGTGGGGCTCCATTTTCTCGGCAGTGCGTGCACTTCTGTGTGCAGGAGTGAGGGGTCGCATGGCTCCCCCGAGGCTGCACACTGGGTCGGGAAGAAGTTTAAGAACCTGGTGTTTTGCCCAGTGAAAACCAGTTAACTTCTTGGCAACAGCTTTGGAGATTCCAGTCACCAGTGGGGTATAAATCACTGGCCCACACCGTGGAGAGGAGCGGCTGGGGGAGTGAGGGTCCGTGGTTAGGCTGGCGGACCCCAAGGCGATATCCGTCACCGTGGACTGGACTCTGCTGAGCCTGCCTCGTCCACTGCTTTCTCACAACCTGACCTGTCTCCACCCAGCTGAGCTGGGGATCCTAGGCCATGAGCCTCCTCCTGGTCTATCCCTAGTGGTTCTCAGAGTGTGGTCCCTGCCCAGCAGCATCCTCATCCCTGGGGAACGGTTTAGAAATGCTGGTTCTCAGGCCCACCCCAGACCAACTGAACTGAAAACTCTGGGGGCGGGGGTCCAGCCATCTGTGTGCTAGCAAGCACTCCACGTGATTCTAACGCTCGCTGACATCCAAGAACCACTACTCCCACCGGCGTGGAAGGACTGAGGGCTTTCAGTGCTCACCCCAGCTGGTCTCACTCACTGTGAGGCTTCAGGCAACGCTCTGACTTACCACTGGAGCCTCAGTTTCCACGGCTGGAAAAGGAGGCGTTTGCATTGCCTCCCAGGTTCCTAGAGTGTTATCCTAGCTCTCAAAGTCATTTGTCAATCTTTTCCTAAAATACAAATAAGCATGTGACTCCCCTCCTCCCCCACACTTGCCAGGTTTCTACCCGGGGATTCCCCTTCGTGGTTTCCTTTCTGCTTGGCAGTTGGTGTAAGTTTTGATGCCAGACGTGGGGAAGGCCGCTTCAGGGGGAAGAAAACCACACACATGCACACACAGCAAAACGTGATCGGCTTACTCAAGCTAGTGACAGTGGCATCTGGGAATTAAGCCCTTAATAACAGCACCTTTTAAACAATTAAACCTTTCCTAGTGCCTTCAGAGGGTCACGGTGCGGGTGAGTTTTTTATTTGTCTGAAATCTCACACCGCTGTTGTTTAATTCAGGAAACCTACGCCACGTGCCCACTATATAGATGCCCGCTGCAAACCAGCACGCCTGTGGACCGGATGTCCAGGCCAGAGCCCAGGAGGGCCCTCGTCTCCTGAGTTCCAGGCCTGCCTGTCCCTGGCCTACATCTGCACCCTCTGAGTCTTGATTTTCAGCTTTGCCACCCCAGTATCATTTTCCGTCCTGTGACCTGGGGGAGGCACCCGCAGGCCGCAGCTGCAGGGTGTGTGTTTCTCATCTGCCCAACTGGCCAAACCCTCAGCAGATGTGGAGGGGAGGCTGCTCGGCAGCCAGGTCAGCAGGGCGCTGGCCTCTTGTCTCCGGAGGGGTCTTTCGGGAGGAATCCAGAGTGCAGAGCCAGCACTTTCTTGAAGTGAGCCTCCAAGCAGGGGCCTCATGACCTCCTCTGGTCCCGTGTTCGAGGGGCAGCACTGGGGGGCACGTGCACGGGGCCATGTCGCCGCAGTGTGTGTGTGGACGTCAGCGCAGGGCGGGGAGGGCAGCGCCAGCCCGGTCTCAGTCTCGGAACTCCTGCATGAGTCTTCGCTCCTCAGTGAGACTTGCATATGAATTTGAACCCTGGCATCCTGTCCATTAAATGCAAAAGGCAGAAGTCCGCTCCATTAAAGTGCCAGGGCTCTGATGAATTACCCCTCCTGAAGAAAGTCTGCTACACCTAGAACTTCCTTGACACTGGTCCCGGCTGTCACACTGCCAGCAGTTTCAAGTTCTGTTTAAACATTTAAACCGCTGGATGGAAACCCCATCAGCCACGGGGCTGTGTCAGCGGCATGGGCTGTCGGGGGAGCATCTTTAGACCCTCGACACTTGCATCGCTTTCCCCGGCGGGGGTGGTGAGCAGCCCTCAGCCCGCGAGATAACGTTTGTGAAAGCACCTTGTGAACTGGAAGAACACTCGTGTCTGTGTCAAGACTGTGAGAAAGAGCGAAAGTCTGTCTAAATGTGTCTCCCAAACTGCTACATTCAGTCTTTAGAGTATGAGCTGCTGTGAGGAGTTAATATGAAGGGATGAGTAATGCTGCACGGTGAGCCAGAGAACCAGTTAGGTTGCTGGTTCTTCTTTTAATTGAAATAGCAAATATCCAAAGAGGAGTGTACTGGGGGACAGAATGGGTCACTGGATTCGGCGTTGAGTGTGCTGACCGAAATACCCATTGGCTTTTCAGGTGAAGTGCTTGGTAGACAGATGGCAGTGCACGTCTGCAGCTCGGGAAAGAAGTTATGATCTGGGTATAAGTTGAAGCCATGGGAGTGATTGAGATCATCTGGGAAGAAGACAGAATATAAAGAGGATTGATGAAGGAACTGAGGTCCTTAGCTTTGGTTTATATCAAGATTAACTGTGGAGCTTTTCAAAAAGAAAGCTCCCTAGGCCCCATCCGGATCTTCTGAATCCGACTCTGGGGCCCAAGCAGGGGGATTCTGGTGTGCACCAAAGACTGAGGGCCGCGGTGCATGAGGGGGAGCAGAGGAGGGACCAGTGAGAGGTGGAGAGACAGGTGAGGACGAGGGCAAAGCAGAAGCTCACAGAACAGGAAAGGAGAGGATTTAGACGAAAAGAGGCCACTGGGATTCGCCAGTAGGAGGCCGCTGGCAGCCAGCAGGGGGGCACTTCAGGACGGAGGCTGAGGGGTTCTGAGGCCCTGACTGTGGGCTTGTGGTTCCCTGTGTGCTGCACTTGCCCCGTGTCACTGTCACCTTCTCTCCTTTGAGTCTGGTTACCACGTAGTTCAGTGTGTTTCTTTACTTTCAGATCAAGTGTTCCCTCCCACGTGCAACATAGGGAAGAATTTTCTCTCCCTCAATTACCTTGCCGAGTACCTTCAGCCCAAAGCTGCAGAAGGCTGTGTGATATCCAGCCAGCCCCAGGATAAAGAAGTGCACATCATTGAGTTAATCACCCCCAACTCTAACCCCTACAGGTGAGTGTGTGTGTGTGTGTGTGTGTGTGTGTGTGTTTTCCTCACTGAGAAGCGAGGAAAACAAAGATCTGATGTGACTTGATGTGATTCTCACGAGGTGGGAAGAGGTACCGTCCTCCCCGTGTGAGAGGGAGGGCACCAGTGCTTTGGGTGAGAAACCATGAAGAAGAGCGTACAGGCACCGGTGGTGTATTTTATTTCCTGCGTCTGCCTCTAGACCCCACGTACTCCAGGTGAGTTCCTGACGCCTCATCTGAACCACCTGGTAGTCGTCCATCGGTGTCTGCGGGAGGTTGGTTCCAGATCCCCCTCCGTTACCAAAATCCAGAGAGGCTCAAGTCCCTTGTGTGAAATGGCATAGTGTTTGCATATAACCTGCACACATCCTGCCGTACACTTTAAATCATCTCTGGATTACTTACAATACTGAATACAGTGTGGATGCTCTGTAAACGGTTGCCTGCAAGTGGCAAATTCAATTTGGGACTTCCTGGAACCTTTTTGGCCCAGTATTTTCCACTCGTGGTTGAATCTGCAGATGTGGGACCTGCAGGGACGGAGGGCGGACCGCGCCCGTCACAGGACAAGCAGTCTTACTCTTGTCCAGCCCTGCTAAGGAAATTACAAAATGTGCCTTATTGACATAAGCATCATTTAAACAACATTATGTTTTTTAACAAAATCCTGTTTATAATGTCCTCAGAACATTTTTGCACTCATAACTGTTTACCTTAAACTTACATGTGAGTGTGTGTGTCAGAAGACCGGCCCTTCGCGGTGACACACCAGAGAGCCATTAGACACCACCTGCATGTGCCTGTCCCGCCCTCAGCGTCCTTCCCCAGGACTGGAGATTTAACCCTCTCCATCAGGAATGACTGGGGAATTTAAAACAGAGAGAAAAGGGGGAGAGGAGGCCCTTCTACTCTGACTTGCATTTCATGTGCACTAGTGAGTTAAATTGTAAATTTGCATCGTAGAGAGACTTCCCAGTTAAAATTCTAATCAAACTTTGATTTCAAAAGTGAATAAACTACAGATCAGTTTTTACCAAATTACCAGATTCCGTTCTGTCCCATGTGAAGAATTTTGTGGAAATTAAAATGCAGTGGGAATTGAAACAATCTGGCAAATGTGCTTAGATGTTCAGCCTGAGGCTTCATTTGAGCATATCATTCATTCTATGCTTTACAAGTGTGTCAAACCAAGATGGAAATGAAGACTTTGCCCTGAATCCAGAATGACAGAGATGTTGTTGTTTAGTAAAATTTTCTCTTTTGTACTGAATTCTTAGAAGTTTGGATTGTGTTTATTAATTTTCCGGTAATCAGTTGGTTGACCATCTGTTTTTTTGTTTTAATAACTGTATATCCAGAAGTTTGGGAAAGTAAATGCAGATACGAGTTTGTAGCAAATGTTAATGGCTTAAGCAAACCTTTCATAAGTCAGGAAATTCTCTAGCCTTTGGCCTCTTATTTTATTCTGAAGTTTACTAGTTTTTTTCTGCCTTGCCTCCCTCTTACGTCCACCCTGCCACCCTCCACTCACCAAACTGCCACCCACTTCTGGTTTTGAAGGATTTTGAGCACGTGGCAAACTAGAATGTTACACATTGAAGGTGTCAGAGGTTGAAAAAGCAACAATTCTGCTTCAAAAGGAAACTCTTCTGGTTTGTTCAAGTCCATTTCAAACAGTGGCTCTACTGAGAAGCCACCTTTTGTTTTCCAAGGAAGAGAAAAATATTGGTGGCTAATTATCAGCAGGCGTGTTTTTGCATTGTTATGTAAAACCATTTTGTTATGTGTGCGCTAACAATCCGTTTTGCACATGTCATTTGCCTGGGATTCAGGCCAGCTTTTTAATCAACTGGCCAGACACTGGAAACATGAAGACTTGGAAGAGGGGACATAGTTGCAACTTCCTGGCATTTGGTGCTCACTCTGCCTTTGTTTTCCATCCACAGTGCTTTCCAGGTGGATATAGTAATTGACATAAGACCTTCCCGAAAGGAACCTGAGGTGGTCAAAAATCTCATCCTGATCTTGAAGTGCAAGAAGTCTGTCAACTGGGTGATCAAATCTTTCGACATTAAGGGAACCCTGAAAGCTGTCGTAAGTTGGCCAAGCATTTCCTTGTTTGATGAAGGGCAGTAATTTAACCTGAGTGTGAGTGTGTTATTTTTGTAAAGTTTCTGCCTCTCTGGCATCTCTCTTCACGCTCTCCGTTATTTTTCACTTTGTAAAATGAGCTGCTCCTTGGCTTCTCCCTATAAGAGCGGTCAGGGTGGTGGTTAAAAACATGGTCTGAGGTCAGTACAGACCCAGATTTAAGCTTAGACTCTGCCATTTACAAACTGGGACCTTGGGCAAGTCCCTTCGCCTGTCTAGACCCCACCTGCCTCATCTGTGAAGTTCCTGGAACGCACAGGAGTGCCTTCCCGTCTCAGTAAGTGGAAGACTGCGAGCCCGATGAAGCCCTTCCCGGCCGGGAGCCCTGCAGGGGCCTCGGGGACGCGGTCCTGCGCGTCAGCTCCCCCCCCGGGGCTTAGGTGTTTAACGGAGGCCTGGGAACTCCGCTGGCTCCAGCTCATTTTTCTTTTTTGAGATAAATGCTTGGTATTGCCTTGCCTTTTTGCTTGCTTCTAACTTCTAAGGGTTGTGAGGTGATGCTGGAAAGGTACCCCCCCGCCTGTGCCCGAAGCATTGTATTTCATGAAGGAAATACACTTAAGAGGCTTCTCTGGGTGGCGTGAGAGGCAAACAGCAGCTGCTTTCCTGAAAAGTTGAATGTTGAAATTTGGTAAAATAAATCATTTTCAGACACGTTTAGGGAGATAACTGACAGAATATTGGAAGGAAGAAATCCCCCCCCCATTTTTAAGAAGATAATTACCTCTTTAGCATCTCTTCGGTGGGCTCAAATGTTTTTGTTTACTTCAAATTTTCTGTATTTTTACATTTAAAACATGTTTCTTATAAGCAACATATACTTAGGTTTTATTTTTATTTTATTTTATTTTTTAGCATTTTTTAGAGTTATAGTCATTTTACAATGTTGTATCAAATTCCAGTGTAGAGCACAATTTTTCAGTTATACATGAACATACGTATATTCATTGTCACATTTATTTCCCAGTCCATCTCTTTGGTGGGCTCAGATTTTTGTGCATCGTCTTTTTGAAAACTTGTGGCCAGCTCCTCTGTCAGGACCTGCATCGAATCAGCGGGAGTGGGTTTTATGTTTCCAGTATGTGGGGAGAGGGACGCCTTCGGCCTGGGTATTACTCATTCACGGCACCTTCGCGTGATGAAGCAGTGGAAGAGCCTAGGCAGCATCGGGAGCGAGCACTTGCCAGAGGCAGCAAAGCCGCGAGCTCACACTTCTTAATCTTGAAGGAATTGTTTCTGGCTCCTGTGGGTCTTTTTCTTTTTTTCCCTAACTTTGCGAGGATCCCAGCAAGCGGCCGTGTGTAACGGCGGCCCGTCACTTTGGTGTCGAGCACAAGGCCCAGCAGTGACTCGCCGAAGCCGGAGCTGTGCTCACTGCCTTGCCTGGCATGGCCTGAGGGGCGTTGGTGACCTGGGGTGTCTGCAACCTTGGCCGCCTGGCACAGCAACCAAATGTTTTTAATTTCAGAATAACAAAAACAGGAAAGGGAATCATGCTTTGAAAGGCAAAAACATACGGTACCTTTTAATTCCCTGCTGGAGTTCTTGTGTAAATGTTCTTCTGGCCCCGACCCCTCAGTGGTTCTTCCTCCCCCCGAGTGTGCGCGCCCGGCCCCTGGCAGCCCTGGAGTGCACTCTGAACGTCCCCACTTCTCATATGAATCAGAAAGGCTCGAAATGAGATTGCTCATCCCTGTGCAAGGTCTGTTTATGTTACTCTTCTTGGCTGCACTCCTGCTCCAGGCCGGCTTTGGACAATGCACGACAACATTACTAAACAATTGGGTAATGTTTCATGGTGTTCTTTTTCACTCTCCCAGTCAGTTTCATGCTTGGTGAGTCCTTAACTCCCGCCTCAGATGTGAATTCTGACTGTGCTGGGAGGGAGGGTTACCTGCTAATGAAAAGGTAGAGTGGAAAGAGTCCTGGCTGTGGGGCCGGACAAAGGTGGGCTCAGATCCTGTTTCCAGTTGCCATTACTCCCAGTAAATACGGAAGTCTGAGTGCGTGCCCTTGATGGCGCTCACCGGAGAGTTCTTGTGAGGGTCAGCAGAGGGCATTTATTCGTTCAGCGTTTGTTAAGTGCGTCCTGAGTATTTAATCTCAAGCATGCGGCCGGCGCACGGTGAGCTCACATGAGCCTCGGGCTCCCCTCCTCCGAAAAGGGCTGGCAATGCCTACCTCCTTATATTCTGGAGGAGAATTACACAAGGGAACATGTGGAAAGCTCTTAGCGCGGCACCGTAAAAGGGGGGTTCATTTTCCTTCTGCAGGCAATTCTGTACACGTTTGTCTGTAGGCACAACTAGCTTCTCTAAACAAAGTGAAAACAGAGACAAACGTCCACTAAAGGGACCAGAAGGGACTTGCTGGGTGAGGTAGAGGGGAGACCCACTGAGCGTGGGTGCGCGTGCATGTGTCGGGGGTGCGACGTGGGCAGAATGCACCCTCCCCGTGGCAGAATGATCCAGAGGGACACAGGGCTGCGCTGTGGCAGGAATGGGACAGCCAGAAGTGTGCACGTCGCCACGCCCAGGTCCAGCTTTGCCTTCAGGGCCCTGTGGACCATGCATAAGTGCATTTTGGAGGAACCTCCAAATCATGAAAGGCTAGACGGAGGAAACTTGTTGGAAATGTCCCACTGGACTGTTTCATACGGCTTCAGGGCTTCAAGTTTGGAAAAAACAGCTTATTCTTAGAAGAGACATTTTTTAATCCCAGCGGGGCTCTGCACTGCACTGTCTGCCCAACTCCTCCCCAGCCCCTGGCCCAGACGCCAGCAGTTCTGACGCAGGTGTGGGCGGCGGGGCGGGCACCCAGACTCTACTTAGCTCTTCATCCTCATGGAGGTATGGCTGGGAAAGATGGGTGGTATTTGAGACCCTCTTGAACACAACCACGTGGAGTAGCTGTACCGAGGCCTTGGAAAAGCCTGGGGACTCCCAGAAATACAGGATGAGGATTGCTGGAAACCAGCTTGCCTGCTGCTGTCCCAAACCTTACAGCTTTACAAATGTATTGATGGATTTTTAGCCTTGTAAGTCCCAAAGTATAATCAGTGAGGGCTGTACCGAGAGCTCCTAGAGTTACTGTGGGAAGGTGTAACCAAGTCCTTCCATTTTGGCACAGGAAGGACAGGTGGCAGTCATGATGACAGTGTCCTGGAAATGCAGTGTTTTCTCAGCTGTCCAACGACATGAGAGGCTGGGGCAGACGAGGCCAAGCAGTGTTGTTTAGGCCAGGGTTGCCTCTCCAGCCAATCAAAATGACATGCTGCCCCGAAAAGCTGGAGGAGCTGTGCCGGAGAAACTGCTGTGAGCTCAGTGAATACAGAGTTCTAAGAACAAACTGGATCCTTCTTTACTTCATTTTAGTTTCCTTCCTTCCTTCCTCCCACCCTCCCTCCCTTTCTCCCTTCCTTATCTTCCTGTCCCTAAGGAGTTTTCTCTGAACCCGAGGAAGAAGAGCAGAATCCAAACTTGTGAAACTGAGTTTTTTGCAAATGGCTACAGAACTCGGTTAAAGCTCTCAATGGTCCCTTTGCGTGCATTTTTATGACTGGCCAGTCTGGCAGTTTTATCTCAGACATGCACTTCGGGTAGTAGAAGAATATACTGGGTGAGACCCTTTAAGCTTTGAATTGAAAATGTGTGTCCTCAGCCAATATCCCACAACCAAAGAGGCCAGGAGAACTTCGAGGCTGTGAATCTTCTGTGGCTCTACAGTGGGAAAGGATTAATATTTAGTCATGTTATGAGCAAACAGAATGGGAAACAAATGGGGAATTTAGGGAAAATGCTGCGTGTATGCAGAAGAAAATAATTGGGCATGGAAATTAAAGTGATTTTTATACGGCATGAAATGGCATAATCTGCTTGCTGGAAGGGGCTTCCAGCCTTGTTGGAGCAGTTGTTAAAAACGTGGTGACTTCCCTTTGGGGTCCTCTGCAGCACTCCGCTCCCTCGTGTCTGAGAAGAGCATTGCCGTAGGAGTCAGAAGGTGACACGGAAATTTACATTCCATGTCCTTGTTACTCAGAGTCCTTTTATGTCCTTTCCTGGAAAGATTTCTGTCATTCAGTTTCAATTTTGTAACTGATTGCCAAGTGAAAGTTAATTTTAAGACTTACTTGTATTGCTGGATAGAGATATTGGTACTTAAAGGGATAGTAACTTAATTAATACTTTAAAACATAAAATCAGCATATTCTATTAATAGAATTGGCAAAATGTCTACAATGACAGGATTGCTAAATTGATCATAAATTATAAATGAAATGTAGACTTTTGTTGTTTCACCACATGGAATTCAACAGTTTACAAAGATGGGATGTCTACACAGTGGAGTAACGAGGTGGTGCCTTTTTTCATTTAATTCTCAGGGACGGGAAGTGAAGCATAGGCGTTTGGGGACAATGTAATATGCACGTCTTTATGCTTTATATGTAATTCTAAATAAAATAAGGGAGAGTTTGGTACACATATTTGGTATGTGTGTGTTAATAATTTAAACATTAACTCTGCAGTGACATGCTGGCATGCTTATGATAATTAATTATCACCCAGTGACAAAGACCGATTATGTCATTTGTAACAACACCAGCGACCCAAATGGTGTGATCAAACGGCGTGAACAGATGGTTCTCAGTCTGCTGTTAAAGATTTTCACGTCAGTGTTCGTAGCCCAAGGAAAGTAGGGCTCAGAAGGACGAACGGTTCCCTCACACCCAGGATAGAACTCACCTGTTTCAGACACTTAGTCGTTCTTACTTAAGGCACTGCTTAATTTTGTAAACCCATGAGTGAAATTTTACTGTTATTGCCTTCAGGCTCCTAACAGTATTGGCTTTGGGAAAGAAAGCGAAAGATCCATGATCATGACCAAGTCAGTGAGAGACGACATCCCTTCAACCCAGCAGAGTCTGGTCAAGTGGGCTTCGGACAATGGCTACAGCCCCGTGACGTCATACACAGTGGCTCCTGTGGCTAACAGGTTTCATCTGCGGCTTGAAAACAATGGTAAGTAGGTTTTGTTTTTTTTTAATGAAAATGTCCTCCAAATGAAGCTTTCCAACGAGGAGCCCTCACTTCAGCTTATGTGGTGCCGCTTGTCTGTTGCAAACTTTAACGATTCATTTGACTGCTTTTTACTACAAAGCTTAAAGTTGCCTAGAACTATGCCAGATGGTTTTGGAGAAACCATCTTTAAGACAGGCTTTTTCAGTAACGTGGAGCTGGCGGCGTGCTGGAGAGCTTTGTGGCGGATCGCTTTCACTGTGACTAGCTGAAGGGCGGGCTAGCCCGGGCTCGGCTCTCAGGGGCCCTGGAGCCCACTTGGGGCTGAGACACAGAGGGGCCGGGACGGCGGGGGGAGTCAGTCCTACAAGAAGAACAGTCACGAGGACGCATTCTTGCCCAGAAGGAACGTGGGAGCTACTACCCCACCACGATGGAGGAGAAAGCAGACGCTTAGCACGTTCCTGAGGCTTTCCAGAGTCTGACAGATGTGGGAGTTAAACCCAGGTTTTCTGATTCCCCAGACCTCTTCCTCACCGTGTGGTACTGCCACTGAGTGTGGTGCCCACAGAGCGAAGGTTAGGCATGCCCGCTCAAGCCCCAGCCCTGCCGCTTGTCCGCTGTTGGGAAGTTCCTTAACCTCTGAGCCTCGGGTTTCTCCTCAGTAACATGGGGGCAACGATAGGACCCACTTCGCAGGATTGTTTTGAAGGTTTCTATCAAAGTACAAATTAAAAACCTCCAGGGGGAAGGGTGTAGCTCAGGGGTAGAGTGCGTGCTTAGCATGCATGAAGTCCTGGGTTCAACCTTCGCGCCTCTGTTAAAAAAAGCAAGCCTCCAAAGCTCTGACTTCTTTTGGACCCATACAACCGTGCCATCCTTTTCAAAAAGATAGTGTTCAGTGCTGTGTCTACCGGTCATCTCCACCCCCAGCTCCCACCGAGGTGGACTGGCCACAGGCATACGTCACTTGGCTTTAGATAGTGGGTGTAGAGGATACTGGGAAAAGTTATTTTTTTCCCTTTAAATTGTTATACTGAGTATGGATTGTATGGAAATGTGTCTCTCCCGTTGAAGGAATGACGGTGCCTACGCGGCTCTTCCTTTCCTCCTTGGGGACTAGGATCTGAAAGACCAGGGTGCCGAGATACCTGTTAGAATTTAGCGTTCCAAAAGGCGGTCGCAGAATAATTTTAAAACACCTATGTTGTTTCAAAAATCTTTAGAGAAACTATTCTAAAGAATCTCTAGATTCAAGGTAAGTATTTCAGTGGCATTTGAATGGAATGATATCGTCCACGTAACTTGTTCAAATCAGATTTTTATAGCTTGAAGTGCCTTAGAAATCATCTAACCCAATGGTTCTTAGTCTTGGCTGCACATTGGGATCACATGGGGAGCTTTAAAACATAACGATTTGTTTGGTACCACCCCAGAGAGTCCAATTTTTCATTGGCCTGGGGTGTAGCCTGAGCATAAGGATTTTTTTTTAAACTCCCAAAGTGATTTGAATGTGCAGCCAAAGTTGAGAGCCGCTGATCTAATCCAACCTCTTAATTTTTTAAATTGGGAACCTTTAGCACAGAGGAGTAAGCCACCTGCCCAGAGCCACGCAGCCAGTTAGAAAGAACGTGAGGGCTCAAAGGCTAGCTTCCAGACCCCTCGTCTCCCTTGCGCACTGTTTGTCAGGAGTGGCTTTGCACGTGCCGTTCTGTGCTGGTCCCTCCTGCTCCTGCCTCTAACGCTGATGGCTGTGGCCTGGCAGCAAACGCTGATGGTGCTCTGCCTTCTTCTGTTACCGCCAGAGGAGATGAGCGATGAGGAAGTCCACACCATCCCTCCTGAGCTACGGATCCTGCTGGACCCTGGCGCCCTGCCGGCCCCGGACAGCCCGCCCCTCCGGGGAGGGGGAGGCCGGAACGGAGGCTTCCCCTTTCCTTTCCCCGATATCGCCAGGAGAGGCCGGCAGGATGGGGGAGAGGACGGGGTCCCTCGGCCAAAGGACCCTGTCATGCCCAGCTTGCAGCTGTTTCCTGGTCCCAGGGAGCCCGAGGAAGCGCAGGGGAGCATGGATGTTGCCCTGTCTGTCCGATGTGACAATGAAAAGATGACTGTGGCTGTAGAAAAAGACTCTTTTCAGGTCAGTGCCGTTTCTTAAAGGAGAGAAGCCAACCCCCCCAACTTGCGCTTGTCTGCGTGCGCTGGTTCCCTCTAGCTCTTCCACTTTCGAGCTCCTGAGCCTCGACCCTGTTGTTCTCAGGGAGGGGGCTCCAGATCCTTGTGTGTCAATATTTTGCTATTGAATTTCTAAGGCCAACAAGCACAATTCTTGGGCTGTTGAAAGGTGGTAGGCTGGAAGCGGGGGGTGGGGAGCCCGGCCTCCAGCAGCCTTTGCTCGGAAGAGCAGGCGAAGCGTGTCAGCTGTGTGCCCTAGAGCTGCCTGGGCCCCCGCATGTCTTTTGGTGGTGTTGTTTCAGGCCAGTGGCCACTCTGGGATGGAGCTCACCTTGTTGGATCCTGCCTGCAAGGCCAAGGTGAATGGCACCCACTTCATTTTGGAGTCTCCCCTGGACGGCTGCGGGACGTGGCACCGGCGGTCAGCGCCTGACGGCGTGGTTTACTATAACTCTGTGAGTGTCCTCCAGGGCAGCGCTTTGCCCTTTTCCAGAGCCTTGCTGGGTGTTCCCTTAAAATTAGCCTTCAAATTTCTATGAAAGTGAGGAGGGGCGTGTACCCCAGGCCCGGACAAAGCCAAGTGTGAGTTCTCAACTAAATGGGATGCACTTTGACCCTGAGCTCTCTTGTTTTACTGGGGAGTCTGTGGAAGGAGGGAGGCCCTGTTTTCTTGGCTGGAGCACTTGTGCTGATCCCTCCCACCACCCTTCCGTCTCCGCGTGACCAAGGGCTCACTGGGGGGTGACGATGACCATCCCTGGCTGAGCTGCGGCATCCAGCGGCCTGGTCCGCGTGAGGATACAATCCGAGCCTGTGGGCTGTGGGGAGCACCTCTGTACGCCGAGCTAATCTGGCCTCACGTGGGTCTTGGCTAGAAGTGGGAAGACTTCTCCCTCATGAACAAAAGAGCCAGAGGAGAGAAATCTGAAAAGGGCCTTTAGGGAGTTGTTCGATCTCCCTCCATCTCCAAGGAGGACCCTAAATTGAAGAAAACTTCTACTTTGAAGTTACCCAGCAGGGGAGCCCACAGACGCCCCGCATGGTGAGCCATTGCGAGAGCTGCCCTTCAGTTTGCAGGTGTCAGTCTTGGCAGCTCTCTAAATCTTTCCTCTAAAGATTAACCCTGTTCTTGTGGAGATGGACACTCAGCAGGGGGTGTTAAAGGGATCTGAACATGGAATCTCAAAAGGACTTTAAAGTGCTAATTCTGCAATTTGAGTGGTACTTTTGACGGTAGCAAGAGGGCTCAAAATCCCTGTGACCAGCTTTGGCATGCCGTGTGTCTGCGCTCGGCGCCTGCCCCAGCTTTGGCATGGGGTGGGGGGGCTGCGACAGCGCGTTCATTCCACCACCAGTCAACTGATACACTCGCCCCATCCAGAGGCGAGCCTGGCACTCTGGTCGGGTGGCTCGTGTGGGGGCTGACTCCGGTGAGCCAAGTTTGCTGTTCCTCAGATGGTCTTAGAATGTTTGCGCTGGCAAGAACCCTAAGATGACCTCACTCAACTTCCTCATTTCACAGGTGAGGAGACTGAACTCCAGGGAGCTGAGAGACTTGCTTGGATCCAAGGGGCTAGTTAAGAGCAAAGCCAGGACTGAGCCCAGCTTCCCGACCCCTCCCCCCTCCCCGTCCCCACCCTAGGCTGGAGGAGCTAATTCCCCTTTGTTACTGGAGTCATTCATTAACCTTTGACTTCTACGAGCAACACTCTCCTGTGAATTCCAGCACTGATTTTCTTGCAGTCACCCAGTTTCTCCAGATGGAATGACTGTCGTATATTATTGGTATACTTGGTTTTGGAATTTTAAACTTGTATCTAAATTGATGCCAATAAGAGGCCACGGTAATCTGTCTGTTAGTTAAAAAAAGGGGCATCTGCCTCAGGAGAGAAAGGCCTATCCCTTCCCCTCGTTTTTTGTTTGCTTGTTTGTTTGTAATTATGGTAGCGACGGTAATAACCTAACGCTTCAGCTGCATCAATACTCTGTCCTGAGAACCCGGCACAGAACAGAGGCCGTTTTCTGTTTTTCACTCCCATTCTGCTGTCTTCAGTGACTATTTTGACTGTTTCTTCCACTTATAATTGTTTATAATAATTCTCAGACTTACAATATATATTTTTAGTAACATATTCACGACCTAAGGACATGGAGTGAAAAATCAAACAAACAAACAAAAGCCACAACTATCCCACATATGCAAAGAAATCAGGATTTTATTTATGGAGCACTGGTCCTTGGGGTGGGGGTTCATCTTATCTGGAACTAGCCTAAGAATAATCATTTCAAGCAGCGTGAAGCTAGATTGTCGGGGCACAGAACGAGTTGCCCTTGCCGGCATCTGTGCACCACACGGAAGATGCCGTGGGGGGTGGAGGAGCGCGGGAGAAGAGAGGAGGAGGGAGTGGCTCAGTAGTAAACATTAGGTCCTTTGCTTCTAACTCAAACCACACTTTGTCAGATCTTGATGAACACAAGTAACAAACGCTCCTTGGATTAGCCAAACTCTGACTATTTCTTAGAGTTTTCAGGTTCCTAAGGAGAATCCACCCCCCACAGTACAGGGGGTCCTGTGGACAACTGCATCCGACCTCACCTCAGTGCCTGGTGCTTCCCCACTGTTTGAAGTAATTTATGCTTTTTTTCACAAGGGAAAAATATATATTTTAGTTTAAATCTTTGTTTTGTTGTGGTTTTCTGATGGGGAGGTAATTAGGGTTATTTTAGAATTTTATTTTATTTAGTGGAGGTGCTGGGGCTTGAACCCAGGACCTTGTGCATGCTGCGCGCACGCTCGACCACTGAGCTGTGACTCCCCCTTTAGTTTAAATCTTAATTTTAACGTGCATTGGGCTTCTTATTTTTCATTTCTTTGAGGATGAAAACCTAAAAAAGACTTGCCATCAGATCTCCAGTTTGCCTCTGCACTGTAGTCACCTGGTTGTTTGCGTGGGGCAGAGACAAACGCATGGGACTCTAACGCTGTCCGTGCTTCCCTTGCCTTTCAGATTGTGATGCAGGCCCCAACGCCTGGGGACAGCAGTGGCTGGCCAGAGGGCTATGAAGATCTGGAGTCGGGCGATAATGGGTTTCCGGGAGATGTGGATGAAGGAGAAACTTCCTTCTCCAGCCGCCCTGAAGTCGTGGTGGTGGGTGCTGTTCGTAGTTCGCAGGGAGTGTTTCCTTTCTAGCTGGCTTTAGTTGGGGGCTGTTGGAAACTAAAATCAGGTGTTAAAGGCTAAAGCTCATAAAGCTACAGGCTAAAGCTTCTTCTGACTGTGATTTATCTCCATCTGTTTTTTCTTTTCTTTTTTTTCCTAGTTTAATTGCAGCCTGCGGCAAGTGAGGAATCCCAGTAGCTTCCAGGACCCGCCCACCAGAAATGTCACCTTCAACATGGAGCTGTACAACACTGACCTCTTTCTGGTGCCCTCCCAGGGAGTCTTCTCGGTGGCCGAGAATGGGCACATTTATGTTGAGGTGAGAGCCACACGTCGGCGTGGGCTGTCAGGTCGGTGCCGGGCTGGTAGGTCGGCGCTAGGCTGGCAGGTTAGCGCTGG